TTTTTTTTTTTTTTTTTTTTTTTTGGTACCAGGGATCGAATCAGGGACCTTGGGCTTGCGAGGCAGGTGGCAGAACCACTGAACTAAATCCCCGGCCTGATGTGCTAGGTATTTCTTAATCCGATGAACTTGACAGATCAAGATTAATGGTCACAGTAGGGCCAGAGAAGAGTCTTTCAAGAGATAATATTTAAGTTGAGAGCTGAAAGAGTAGGTAGAGGAGGGTTGCTTTTTGCCTTTCTTTTTGCAATATATTATAGTTACATCTATAAAGTGTTTTAAAATTCAAGTTGAAAGGCATTTCCCTTCATTACTGTGAATGAAGCAGCTGTAAGGAAAACTGATGAAATCTGATGCTTATGTCAAACCTGGGGTTGAATCTATCCTATCCCTTGAATGACATATGTAACTTTCATTCATGCTTTTTTAGTCCATCCCCTTATCTGTAAAATAGGCATAATAACATGTGCTTACATAAAGTTATTATAAAGAAAGATTAAGCACCTAGTACATTATCTGGTACCTTGTAGTCAATCAACAAGTAGTGAGTGCTCGTGGTGGTGTTATGACTGATGTCAGCCACACATGAGTACTTAATGATCCTCATATGACTGCTCTAACCTATCATACTTCCTTTCCTGGAGGGCCCGATACAGCTGCTAATTGCCTTCTGGTCCTTGAATATAACTGCTTTGCTTCATTCATGCCATCGAGATCCTAAGTACAGAGTATTCATCAGTTTTATTCCTTTACATCAAATAATATCTCAAGGGCATGAAAAGTACCCTTCAATCATTATTGATAAAATACTTTATAAGTCTAAGCCATCCTAATGGCCCATCTTTTGGTACAGGCTTGCCTTCCCTCAGCAGCAAAATAACTGTCTTCTTACTAAAGCAAATCTACAGGTTGGACTTTCCTCCCCATTTCGATGATTTAAAAAAAAGTTGTCTGAGCCTTTAATTGTATTTATTTTGGGGGTAGTTGGTGACAGGCCCTCACTTTTGCATACTGTGTCCCTTCCTGACTGTATCATCAAACTTCTGGTTAGCTGGAATACAGTACTCAGGTATAATTTGCTGAGAAATGCCATGAATCTCTAAGTACAGAATTACACACCTTCCCATCTAATCCCACCCTACGTCCACCCCACTCCCAACAACTAGTCTTCACAGTTGTAGAGTCCTGACCCATTTAGGGTCTCATCTCTTCTGAGTGTCCTTAGGCAGATATATATTTCTAAAGTTTATGCCATCTCTCTATCTTCTGTAGATATGTGCTGATGTTTATGAGGCATTTTTAAAAAAATGTCAGTTGGTAAAAACTCTGAACTCTTTTTCTTATTTGCTTTTCAATTTGATATTTCCCTGGTTAGAAATTATTCCATCACAAATATGTCAAACTGATCAGTATTCTTCCTTTAGAGTCAATTGTTTGCTTTTGTTCGCTAACATATCAACTAATTCCTTTCTTGTATCTCTAAAGGAGAACTTTTTCCATTTATCGTTTGTCAAATATACATGCTATTAAATAGTATTTTAATCTTTAAGGCAAAGAAGGAAAGTGTCTTTTTAAAGGTCATTTTGCAAGTTTGATTTTTGTAAATATACATTCTAGAGAGTATCTTCAAAAATTTAACTTACAAAAATGAAATTCTAGATTTATTTTGTACTTTGTACATTTCTTCAATAGCAGCTCTGTTTGAAGGTTCATTATTAAAAGTATGAAGTACTCATAAGAGAATATGGATCAGAAAAAAGTGATAACCAAAGTAGTATTCACTATAGCTACAGATTATTGGATATAATAAAGCAGATAATTAAGAGACTAGAACAGTAACTTAATATTGCTGTTTAATGGCAATGGGATGTAAAATGAGAATAGAATAAATCAAACATGGAATATGGAAGAAATAGCAGTAATAAAGAACAATTTGTGGGAGGGCTAAAAAGATAATTAAGTACTAGAATATAATAATATAGTGGAAGAATGGGAGGAGATGATAATTAAAGGCTTTTATCACATTAGAAAGGAGGACACAGGTATTATTATGTATTTTAAGTCTGGAGTGAATGTTTAAGAGTTACCATTAAAATGATATAAATAGATTATGTAACTTTTAAAGCAATAGAGGAATACAGTAAAGAAAATCTGTTCATCCCAAGAGGAAAGGAAAAGAAGAGGGGGAAGCATGGCAAATATGAAGAACAACAGAAGATGCAAGTAAGCCCAGCTATATTAGTGATCACAATAAATGTAAATGGTTAAATTAGCTAGATGACAGAAAATATTTAAAAAGGTATATGTAGTTTATTAGAGACAAAATCTCAACAGAATACCTATCAAAAGGTTAAAAGTGGTCTACTGGGATAAGCTATAGT